TGACTAAGCAGGCACTAAGCCTATCTAGGTAAAACTACTACTTCTTAGCTTTAAAATGAGTCAGCCCGATTAGGAATAGCTCTTATATTCGTCGAGTTATACTTGTTTAAAAACTAGAANTTTTAGTAACACGTTTTTTTCATGTCACCCCTCTGTACATGTCACACGTTAGTCGATGACGTAAAGCAACAGCGGATGAATCGGAAGAGGAAGGGAAAGGAGAAAGTAACAGCTCGCTGCGGCTCGTTAGCGTATTCTCCGCGTTCTCCGCTCAACTGCGAGATTAAAGTCCTTTTGCCTTACTTAACTCCGCGTCCCGCGGATCTATGACCTATCCATTCATCAGACAAGTAAGTCATGTCTGTTCATCGACGCCAGAAGCGCTCGCCCATTAGCTGTGAGCCATGCCGCATACGAAAGATTCGCTGCAGTCGGCCGCGGGGCCCTCCACCCTGCGAAACGTGTGTACGGAGGCACCTCGCACCAGAGTGTCACTATGAACAGTCACACCACATTTCAATGCCCATAATTCGCAACGCACCGCCATCGCCAGTGTCTGAGCAGTCAACACCAACGTCAGCAATCCTACGATCGAATGAAGATCTGGCTGAACGTGTAGCCAACTTGGAAGCGCTCATACAGGTGCAAGATGCAAATGCGCACTCGTCTTCTGCAGATACCATTTTACCCTTGGGGAGAACAAAGGGCATGCTCTGGACGGCAGAGACTGGTCATGTGCGTTTCATACCATCTTCAACCCCAGCAGACAGGGATAACTCTCCATACGATCCTCACCAAGCCCTATGTCGGTCAGTAGATTTGAGCGCTGGGCCGTATCCTCTTGGCAAGAGAAAGATTGAGATGGATCAACTACTTGATGATCTCCCATCTCGACATCACTGCAACCAATTGAAAGACATATTTCTTAGTTCATTTGCTTCCGTAAGCCACAATGCGTCACAAACGCTGCAACCATAGATTGACTTTGGTACCACAGTTGTTTCATATTCTGCATGATCCCACGTTCAACCAACAGTATGAAGACTTTGAACGGGTCCCTGAATCGGTGTCTCCATCATGGCTAGCCCTTCTATACGCCATTATTGGGACATCTGTAATGGCTCTGGGACCATCGAGTGGGCTTCTGACTGATCTCTCACGCAAGGGGCTTGTCGCTGATCAGATTGCCGAGCTCTCCGAACGCTATCGTAGCGCAGCCTTCAAGTGCTTGCAAGCAGACAACTACCTGTGGCAGCAGAATATAGCCACGCTTCAGGCGCTTATCATTCTCATCTACAGTATCAATCACAGTCATGGCCAGACCTGGACGTTGCTCGGCATGGCCTACCACATTGCCCTCTCCTTGGGTTGTCATATCGACCCAAGTGAGTTTGGTCTTGATGTTATCAGATGTGAAGAGCGGCGCCGCTGCTGGGCTGGCATCATGATGCTGTATATGATTCAAGCCATGTCCTTGGGTCGTTTGGGACTGGACCCATCAAATGCATCTGAAGGTGTTCAAATGCCTTCCGACCTAAACGACTCGGACTTGATCGCCGATGAATACATTTTGCCCATTACCTTCAACCGCCCATCACAAATGTCGTACCTACTTCTCAAGTTTCGCCTGTATGAGATTGCAAACGAAGTCTCTTCAATCGTTCGGACCTCTCTGCGTACTGCCTCTTCTCTAATCAGCACAGTGGACCAACGGATACTTAATGAACAACGCAGTTGGCATGGCAAGTATCTGTTGTAATCAAGCTTGGCTGCATTACCTGCATACCATAAAGTACATCTCAATATTTTGCAAGGTTATTCGCATCAGTTGATGTTGCTTCTTCACAACCACGCCTTGAGACGTTCTGTGGTGGACTCCCAACAATGTCGTCTATCCGTATCGAGAGTCGCGCATAGTGCAAGGAAGATATTGCATATTTACACTGAATTATTCACCAAGGACGAGTTTTCTCCATTCACATGGTATCTTCGAGGCATCGGCAGCTTCCATGCGTACCATGCAGCTGTATCGCTCATCGCTGCCCTAGCCGAACGCTCTTGGGGGTTGACTCACGAAGAAGTTCTCCCAATGGTAAAGGAGTGCGCTGAAAGATTCGAGGCACTCACAGAAACAAGCATTATATGTAACAAGGCTCTACCGGTTCTGCGACAGATGTTGTAAGTTTGCTGTCGCGCGTTGGATTTGTATAAGGTATGAGTTTCTGAAGACCTACAGGCATACGATGGACACATGGACGATACACGGTGGAAATCAGTCTCAGGATGACAGCTTGCAGGTTCAGGATCAAGATGGATATGTCCAACGGACACTTTTCCCGGGACCAGGATCTGAATCCGATCAAGCAGGAAATGAATGTGGGCTGGATGAAACTTACCACACGGTGTTCAGTCAAAACACTAGCATGCTGGAAGGCTTCAACTCTCAATTTTGGCTGACGCCGTTAGGAGTCCTTTCGCAAGAGGTAATAGTACCACCACTCATGTCGAGATCAGCAGTATGACATGGGCGTCCCATATTGTTGCACCAAGACGTTCACAAAGGGTCATATGAGAACAAGGGTTCATAACCGGGTACATTAGACCAGATCAATGACAACAAGTAACGAAAATAATTGCCATAAGATAACAAAGCCGATGTGAAATTACACTGCATGTTTTCCAGACACAGTCCCCCATCCACCTATTCACCCGAGTTCGTCCAATGGAAGTGGCACATGAGCTAAGCCGGAATTAGTGGAGTTTAGAATTGATCTGAGTTCTCTTCTTGATAGTTGGAAATTCTTGATCTGGCACGATGACATGCGAATCGCTATCCTGACCAGAAACAGGAGGCTGCATGTATTCTCTTCTACCAGCCTTGTGCACCCTTCCATTGATGCATATCACGTTCAGCTTATCGTGGTCTTGTAGGACGGTTATATCTTTGAGCGGATCACCATCGACCAGGATACAGTCTGCGTAGTATCCTGGTTGAACTTTGCCTAGTTCATTGGGTTGCATAAACAGAGCTGCAACCCCAGCAGTCGCTGCGATGATGGCTTCATGCTCAGTGAAGCCAAGGAGCTTCACAAAATGCTCGAGATCCCGCGCATACGTTCCATGTGGCGTCCATGCAAAGCCGTAGTCGCCACCGGGCAAAACGGTGATATTCCGGCGATGCATCTCCCGCAGCGCGGCAATGGCAGTATCGAGTTCGCGTTTGTAGCCCGCCTTCTCAGCCGCTTCCCTGGGATAGCCAAATGCTTCCGCATTGTTCAGCGTGCATACTAGCCAGTTGATCGCCGGAGCAACAATGTGTTTTGCCTTTGCTTGCTCGAGCATGTGCATGCCTCTATCGTCAATGTAAGAGGCGTGGTAGATTGCTTCGATTCCATGTCGGACCGACATGATGACGGAGTCGCGGGCACGGGCGTGTGAGCATAGACGCTTGCCATGTTTATGGGCTTCGTCCACGCATGCCTGGGTCTCTTCGTCGGTGAAGTAGCAGTCCTGGGCCGATTTTGTCTCCGTAATCTTTGGGCCATTGTTAGCTTCGAGTTTGGAAAAAAAAGATACAGGGAGTACGGTTTCAATTACTTCTTCGCCACTCATGCTCAATTTGATATTGTCAACCCCAAGCTGGATATGGTGTTTGATGACCTCCCGCATCTCCTCTGGTCCGTCTGCAAAAGCTGTGATTCCTCCGACGAGCTCGCCACCTCGTCGCGCCATCTCTTTCCCGTTAGCAAGGTATCTAGGACCAGGTATATCTCCGGCATTTATGGCATCTCGGATGACAACATCGAGTCTCTCTTTGGCAGATGCAGCGCCAAAACACATCGTGTAGCCAGAATCGAGAAAACATTGTGCACTCCGCATAGTCAGCAGTGTATGTTCCTCCACTCCCAAGGTTCCCAATTGCTCGAGATCACCGCCGTTCCAGGTGAAATGGGTGTGAGCGTCTCCCAAACCTGACATTAGCGTTCGACCTTTACCGTGAAAGACTCTAACACCAGCTTGCGCCTTGAGCTGTTCTACATCTGGTACTTGACCCACCGCTGTAAATCGCTCCCCTTTTGCATGGCTATCAGCTCCACCTCTCGGCTAATCCTATGCAGTCTCGCAATGCTTACGAACCTTCAATTGAAACGTCTCCGCGAAACGGCTCCCTGCCAGAGGAATCAAGGATGTTCACATCGAGAAATAGAATCTTCGATTCCGGATGTGTACCCGAGATTTCGTATCGTTTTGGTTGGAGGTGGTCTTCCCACTTAAGATTCTTGATGGACTCAATGTTTCTAGGAGGTCCTTGATAAGGCTCTGGCGCCACATCGACTGAAGGCCAGGATCTGCTATCATTGCTAGTCCCAGAATCGGTTCTTTCGAGGGCCATGGTGTTATCACGATGATAAAGTAAAAGACTCTGGAGCTCGGAGCCACTGGTTTAGAGTCGACAAGATATCAATTCAGGAAGATGCAACACATAAAAGCCTTTGATAACCCCCCCACGGCCGGCTAAATCGGATGGCCTTTTGAGGAGCTGGTGATTCTCTACCTAGATGACGCATGCTACATGGCTCGTAAGCGTAGAATGAGATTTCCCCGCAGACTGTACGACCACATTCCGGTTTCCGCCATCTCCGCCATCTCCGCCACCCCGCGCTTACCTAGTTCTATCCTGCTAACTGGCCGTTGAATTCCAAGGTCATTCTGCTTACTTCTCCACTTTCTATGTTTCTCTTGCACAAAATTTCCTCTTGGCTGGGTTGTCTGGCAGCCAGAACGTTGCGGCCACTCTCTTTCTTTACGTACAAGCGAGACTTTAGATGCGACATGGGGTGGCTAACAGCCGTGCGTGGTGACACGACTGAGATAAAATCCAACCCGAATCGGTTAAACGTTGAATTGGAAGAAGATCAGGAGTTGGACAAAGAAAACGCTTCTCGCACTGGAAGGCTTCCTGTCAGTGCATCTTTGCACCGGCAAGAGCTGCAGCCTCTCCCATTCGTCCCTCATGATACCCCAGATTCTGAGCTACCTTTTCTTTCCGCTGCTCAAGTTGCTCTCACTTGTCAAAATTACGAAGACGACCGTGGAAACCTATTGTACGTTGTTGTGGATGAAATAGTGTACAATTGCACGCAATTCGTCCATGAACATCCAGGTGGTTCTCGGGTGATTGAAAACTTCAAAGGTCAAGATTGCTCATGGCAGTTTTGGAGATTCCATTCAGAAAAGAACATGGAGGAGTGGGGGAAGCCGCTGAGAGTTGCGCGTACAAAGGATGTAAGGAACAGATGGAAGGAAAGGCCGAGATGGGTGGGATTGAGGAAGTTTGGTGCGATAGAGGAAGGGGATTGGTGATTCATATACTCTCTCGTCATGATTGTATTAGGGCTTGTAACTGGATTGCTCCTTGGCATTTCTGAATCCATCATAGAGAAAGAAGCATGAAATATATTGGTGTGTCAAAACAGGTAGTACAAAACTACCCTAGCTTCACAATGTGATTATTACTGCTATTGAAAGCTCCGAAAGATGTTAGTATCTTGATGTGGTGAGTTGCGAGTGAACTGTACATCCCAAGGTTGAGCATTTTTGGTCATGTTGAATTTTTCATTAGCCTGACGTTCTTGAACGTTCTCTCTAACCCTAGATAATCAATGCTACGAATGGAACTAAAATACTCATAGATCCCGACCCACATATTGCCTGGAATTCTTACTTGACCGATCCAGTTTGTAGGAAGCGTTGGCAGATAGATCCTACTCCAATATGAAAGTTATGAACACGCAAAGAACCCAACAACGAAGCAATGGAACTGGTAGCGATCTGAGGCTTGCTTTTTTCAGCCATGCAATTATTGACAGAAAGGAAGAGCTCGCTTTTGTGAAAAAGTAGCGGAAGTGAAGGAACTATGGGCTCCTTGAATGAATCAGATTCAGACGAATGTGAGCAAGGCTAGGATGAACTCTGTTTGCAATTGCTTTGTCGCTATGCCGGTTCATGCCAAGGAAGTTCTAGCATTGTCTATTATCTGGATATATACGCCATTTTACCAGTTTTAGGAATGTAAGGTCATGGCTGACGAAAAGCGGAATGCAGTATGCAACGGGAATGCAGTTGGATACAGTTCTCTGCCGAGGAATTTAAAAATTCAGTGAAAATGCTAAAACTCTTGATGCCATACGCTTCGGCTACAGGAAGGGATACATAGAAACACCTCTTGTGAATCAAAGCAATCCTAGTGGTGCTAGGGTGGCAAGACTTCTTGTATTATGTGGGGAGTTGGCCATTCTGTGCTAATAACATTTCCACTAACAGTGGACAACGGCTCAAGGCAGTCATCAGCCAGCTTGCTTTCTCTCTTGTCGATGATATACATAGTTGTGCATGAACTGTAATGAAATTGCGCAGTATGCGACATGTCAAGTGAGGCGGAAGAACTGCCTCCTAGATTTGAACCTAAACGCAACCGATGAGCACTTTCCAACCCGAGTCATACGTTAGAAAGCTTCGCAAGTTGGCTTTTCACTCGATGCTAGGTTAGCGATGGCTCATCGAGATCTCACGAGAAAAGCATGCGTGTTTTACACCATTATCTGCCGCGCATTGAGCAACGCCAAGTCCGCAGCGGGAGCCCCGCAGTCAGTACGTACTTACCCTTTCTGTTACTATCCCCGCCATCTCCGCGATTTTTTCCGCCGCCGGTCTACTACTTCCCCTCTTTACCTGTCCTACGTATTAGCGCATATACAGATAGTTGGTATCAGACGTGGCATGTGCGAATGCGCATCCTTGGCTTTATTAATTGAGCGATTAGACGGCAGCTCGCTTTGCCAACCCACACTCTTAGGATCAACTAGGAAAAAACAGTAGCTTTGCATTCCGAACCATGGCTTCCACCGATTCAGCAAACGGACACATGTCCCTGACGAACTATGTGTCTTTCCAAGATCCGGATACGGGGCGCACCCGCGTTGGCCATTACGATCTCGCGAATGCATCTATCCAGCCATTGGCCTTCTTGTCCGGAACGCCGCTAGACAGCATCTACCAAGTAATCGAAGTTGGTGAATCCAATATCATCCCTTTTGGGAAAACATTACCGGCCTCCGGAACCAGGATCTTGCCACCCTTCACCGGCCGCGATATCTTGTGTGTTGGCAAAAACTATGCAGAACACGCGAAGGAGTTCAATAGCTCAGGTTTCGACAGCTCCGACAAAGTAGACACGCCATCCCATCCCGTCATTTTCACCAAACGTTTCACTTCCATCATTGGAGATGGCGAGGAAATCCTTCCGCATTCGGACTTCACGGAGACAGTCGACTACGAAGGCGAGATTGGTGTTGTCATTGGTAAAGCTGGATTTCGCATCTCAGAAGAAAGCGCAATGGATCACGTGTGGGGCTACACAATTGTGAATGACGTAACAGCGCGTGAGCGTCAAAGAGATCACAAGCAGTTTTACATTGGGAAGTCGCCGGATACGTTCTGCCCCATGGTAAGTTGATGTATACTACTAGTGTGTTCAAGCAACGCCTGACCTAAAATGGTAGGGACCGATTGCTGTGCCAGCGTCCAAGCTAGATAAAGTATTGCAGCTCGAGACATATGTGAATGGCGAGCTACGACAGAAAGCCACAACAAAGGACCTGATCTTTTCCATTTCTTACCTAATCAAGACCATGTCCGAAGGGCAAACACTCATGCCGGGCGATGTTCTTGCTACCGGGACAGTAAGTTCATGTGTTGACGAACGAACCATCAAGCGTACTAACTTGGAGTAAAGCCTGCAGGAGTTGGTATCGGCAAAAACCCACCGGTATATCTCAAGCCGGGTGACACTGTCGCCGTGTCTGTAAGTGGTCTGGGTACCCTCACTAATCGCATTGCAAGTCCAAACTCGAACAACCCAACTATCACCATGGCTGGAAGCACGTTGTCCCACATACAGCCTTGTAACTTGGCTAAGAGCATCGACACCACGTCGCTTACATACATCAACAACAAAACACTTTATTACAAAAGGATCGGTGTACAATCAAAACCACCTATCGTTTTCATCCATGGTCTTGGTGGCACCTCTGACTTCTACACTCCACTAATTCAGTCTCTGGGCCTCGAAAACACACACTCACTGCATCTATTTGACATGGAAGGCCACGGGCTCTCACCATCATCGCCACTTAGCAAAGTGAGCATCGAATCCATTGCCGATGACGTCAATGGCATATTCGAGAAGGCAAACATTGCGCCGGATGCAACGCTTATGGCTCATTCAATGGGATGCCTTGCAGCTGTTCATTTCGCATTGATACATCCAAACAAGATATCGAAACTGATCCTGATTGGGCCGCCACCATCACCTCTACCTGAAGCAGGGAGTGCGGGTGCCCATGCTAGAGCCCAGACGGTGCGGAGTAAGGGTATGCACGCTGTCGTCGACGCCATTGTCGCAGCTAGCACTTCAGACAAGACCAAGGCAACAAATCTGGTGGCAGTAGCGGCAGTGCGCATGTCCTTACTCGGCCAGGATCCGGAGGGGTATGCGAAGGGGTGCACGGCACTTGCGGAGGCAAAGGCACTCGACTTTGCCGCGATCCAACCCAGAACGCTCATTATTACAGGAACTGAAGACAAGGTTTCGCCGCCTCAGTTGTGCGAAAAATACTTGGAAAGGCTAGGAGACAAGGCAAGTCTGCATTTGCTGGAAAATGTGGGGCATTGGCATGTTCTAGAGGACTTTCAAAGTGCTGCGAATGCTGTAAAGACGTTTTTGTAGATGACTCTAGCTACGCTTTGAAATGAATACCTACAGGGTTTAACGCTGTAGTTCCCATGGCCAGCAAAGCTTGGTCCGCGGCAACATGGCGTCCCCCTTCGATTTATTTTAGGCTACTATTCCTTTGGCCATGATGTCAAGATTTTATGTTTTTATTTTGTAATACAGTTTTAGGGTCTTCATATTTGTTTTACTCACTGTGACTGATCCGATCTGAGTACAAAACCCAACGCCCGCTCCAGAACTATCTTCACTACAACCTCGATCATTTGTGGTGCGTTTGGAATTTTGTATACATATGTCATGAGTAATATTTATTGGGGACATATTTTAGCATACCACTTAATTGAACAAAGAGTACATGTTTGTCAAGTAGATTCCTTACCTGTATAACCCAGATTCCATTAATTAATGCGTCAAGAGGACCAGGAGCAATGCATTGCTGAAATACCGTTCGTAGATAGAAATAAGAATCATTTCAGTCCCCATATAAAAGATCGGCATGAAAACACTGTTACCTAGATTGAACTGATGGTATTAACTAAAGTTTCCAACACTTCGGACCTGATAACAAATATGTACCCCGAAAACGGAAGCATCGTGTGAAGGCTGTGCCACATAGATGTAGCAAAAGCTGTGTTGTACACACATAGCAAAAGCGGTGCCGCATAAAGGTAGTGAGGGCGGTGATCAGAATGTCTCTTCTCAATCCAGAAAGCCTGATCTGCATTGCCGTTCTTCTTAGCTTAGCTATTAGGAGGCAACATTCGTCATAAAGTCTCTGTGTGCAGATTAGCCAACGCCTGCTTCGGCAAAACATTAATGGAATCGGCTCATCATGTAGTAGCCAAGCCTCCTCACAGAGTAAGGCTTGTTTTGTTACTACAAGGTTTGTTTTCTCTTACGGATCACTCATGCGCATGGTAGGGCGATCCTGCATTGAAATGTATTCAAGAAAAGCTCGCGGGATCAAATAATCTTCGTGGCCAGATCGCACTCTACTCCATATTCTATTGATTTGTTACAGCTTATAGTGCAAAACATCCATCCAGTTCTATTTGAAAGGGAAAGGCAAGAACAGCTTGTATCATAGGAGGCTCTAAGAACATGATGCACTGAGTGGTTCCATAGGTTGGAAGATGATCCTAACTAAGCCCTGTCAGCTATTGGATTTTAATCCGCCAAGCAAAGCAGATGCAGATCCTGAAGTAAATCAAGCGTATCGCTTTGGTAAGCGCGGAGGATAGCGGAATTCCGTTCTTTTACATTATTGATCATACGATCAATAGCGTCAGCTGCGTAGTCTTTGAGATTCTCTTCGCCGGCAGCCTGTGCTTCATCCCGAACTTCATGAAGACGTTTCAGCCAATACATTCATCGGTACGGTGTGAATCCAGTTGGCGATCGTATTCCCAAGCTTGATTCCACGAAGTTCTGACCGCCCCGGCCAATCGCGCTCGGGCAATCATTCCAAAATGTTTCGGAGAGTTGAATGAAAACGTAGCTGGCCTCCTTGATCCATGCCCAGGCAGCTGGTAGTAGATTTGCAATGGAAAGGCTGCGGATCTCTCGAGAAGGGTCTTCTTGGTCCTGATCGTCCAGGCAGCACAGCGATCGCGTTTCCTCAAATTCGAGCGAAACAAGATAAGTGCAATCTGTGAGACGCTGTGATTGCTTACACGGGTTGAGATCAATTTGGTTAAGAAGGACGCACAGTTAAGGCGATGGCCGCTGGACATGGGGGCGCAATCGTTGATCCAGAAATCTCTCATGTCCGTCGCCAAGAAGGGTAGGTCATTCCAAATAGTACCATGCATTGTGCGAGCGATATCGATGCTGTAGTTACCTGAAACTGGCCTGGTCAGAGGGCCGAGTCCCTGGATGGAGACAATATCAAAGACTAGGCGACCTTGTTCGGCAGTTTCATAGGAAACTACTCGACCTAACTGATAGTAGATATGCCAGAGGGAATGGAGATAGCCTTCAAGGGAATCAACAGCGTCGCCGACGATACAGTAGCAGTCGTTAATAATCCATGTTCGATCGGTAAAAGCACCTATGCAGACCTGCTCAACCTCGCACCGAGCGATGCATTCATGAATGCTTTGCTGGTCGTGAGCAGCGTCATCTAACTTGGTGATGTCTGATGGACCTTTAGGCAAGGGGCTCAAGAGTGGATTGTGGAAGGAGTGCGTAGTGAGAGGAACGTCGACGAGTAGCGTAGAAGAAGTACAGACTTTAGGTAGCGAAGGAGATTAAGTATGTTAGGCACAGTATCCCATACACATAAGGTAAACTGCTGTACACACTGGTCGCTGATATCATGCGAGGGTACTTAAACATTAAATTAAATATAGTGGAGACATTACAGCCATTTAGAATTAACAACCCCCTGCAGCTTTGGGTATACAAAAGACCGCTGCAGGAAGCTAGCAAAATCAAAGGATATACACCTGAAATATTAAACCGCACAATTTCTTACTCCGCATGCAACACTGAGAAATGGCACTTCAAGCACATACGCCCTTGATGTATAACCAGATTCATTATATAAGAGTACAAGTACAGAAGTGGGTATCAAAAGTCCTTGCTGATGCAGTGACAGGGATGTGTTAGCCACATGCCCATTTGAGGGGTAGCACCGCGCTTTGCGACTTCAGCTTCCTGCAGGGATATTTGTCCTGGGCCGAGACGCTTGTTAAACGAGGATGGATTCTTTGATCTATAGAAGAAGAGCGATACAACCGAAAACCATAACATATCGCCGATCTTTAATCTCTTACCTGCTCACCCGATCGTACGTAGGTGTATCCATTTGGTTTCATCACTTACGCGCCCTGTCACACGATCATGTGTTACGAGAAAGGCGCTGCCTTTTGCTGCACTAAAGTTGTAAGCAATGAATGCCTCGTACTTACAACATCTCAGTCTTCTAGATAGACCCATGCTCGATGAGTAAATATCCCGCGTGGGCTGATGGCTAGGCCATGTGCGCAAGGCGTGAACTGCATGTACATAACATTGTAAGTACTTCTGTGTTCATGTACCATCTTCTGGGCTAATAATTCATGTTCTGTTCCTTATTGTCCTTGTGGACTTAAGGATAGGGCAGGATAACCAAGCTAAATGTAGATAACGAATGCAGGGATGAAGCGATCCTGAGGCCCTAGGCGAAGGGTATGCCTAGCATCTATATAATTCTCTGGATATGCGAATAGAAGACCAGTTGACATAATTTTCATGGTGAGAATAGGTAAGGATGCAGGATGCGGCAGCTAAGATAACGAGGCGCAACCCCTTGATCAACTGTTGGTTTCGGGCATACGTCAAGGGTTTTTCTTGTGGCTGCCCTCGGATGCGGTGGAAAATTTTGAGAGTCATGATTTCCAAGACAATCAGGGGAGAAGTATCTGCGCTGGCTTTCATTTTGGAAAATTTGGTTGGTGTGGAAATTACAAGCAACCGGAAACTTGCAAGGCAGATCTTGCTTTCCTATCCAGTTGCAGTTCTGTTATAATCCATATGTTCTAGTGGCTTCCCCACTCCCAAGTTAAAGGCGAATATTGTGTATATCTTTCATAGAGACTCAATATCTCGTTCGTTGTAAACTAGATAATTGCTAGATCTATATCACAACTGGTGTGCTTAGCTGCGCAAGTGCTGTTGTATTCTTTAGGGCTAATGCAGATTGTGGTAAGTGGTTATTGTTTCATATATATATGTATGTATGCTCGAACAGTTGACTTATTGTTGCCACCGCAGGTCTCGAAGGGCCCTGCGTCTGCCAGGGAGGCCACTGCAAGACCTCAACCATATAACAAAAAAGCTAAATAAGAAGGAGCTCCGTCTGCGACCTCGTCTGCTATACTTACTTGGAATAGCTATCGCGATAGTTACTTAGGTATGAATTCATACACTCGTAGTGTTGTGTTAGCTCTACGCACAGGTCAGTTTTTCGAAATTTTGAATATCACGTGACTTAGGCAAATGCTGAAAGGGCTGCTCTTGGATATCCATCACGTATCCTTCGAGCGAGGAAGGCTCAGGAGTTGCACAGTATGAAATCTACCGTCTGATCTTTGGGATGAACTAGAAGGATTCGACCGACAAGTATTCCGATATTTTTGCTCCTCCCTGCCACACCTCTCACAGCATGTGCATTGTCCCAGAATTATTACTGCCAAAAAAGAGCTTTTATGGTAGCAGGGCAATGGAACCTTCAAGTTGACTAATTGTTGAGCTTGTTTGATGTTCCGGTCAGCTGGGGCGCGTCCAGTGAGTTCTTGTGTGTCACTCGCATGTGCCCATTGGCGGAACCAAGATTGTTGTAAAGAAGGTTAGGCTAATCGCAAACTAGGAATCTCCGCGGTAAGTAACAGCAGCAAGTGAATGGACTGAATGATTGTCGCGGGGCGTCCGAATCGTGGTCTGGGGAAAAGCCCGTGAGGCTGAATCCTGCCCTGAGCTGAGGAATGGGGGTCGCAGAATCCAGGCGCCTTGGCAGGTGAAGCTTAACAGTCTGGACCACGTTGGCAATCTCGCTACGATCCACACCACGAAATTTAGCGTACAGCCTCTTTTCTCGCTTCTGCCAATTTTGTCATTATTCAATAAGTGGCAAACCGAATTTGAGTAGTCTGCTGCGTATGAATTCGCGGCGGTGTGAATTTGTATTGCAGTGGTCCAATGGGGAATGTGGGCCCTTGCATGGAACAGCCCGCTTGGGCTTAGTGCAGCCATGTTTTGCATCTGCAAGGGGTCTTGTCGTACCAGGCAGATCGCGACGAACATCGCCATGGCCCGATCGTGTGGTTGTCGGCATCTCGACCTCCTGCCAGCGATACAAGTTGTGGGGCGGAACTTGCCATGAGGCTGAAGGTACACGTAGTTGCTACTTGCCTGAAACGATAGTACAACGTCAGTCCAGAACGCCCTGTATCGCGCTGAGGCCGAGGATACTATACATTGTGACTTGTATATAAGGCCTCATGTCTTGCGAGGCATTTTTCTCACCACTCACCATAACACGATCAATCACGACTACACTACTCAGTCCTTGATACTCATGATTGCTCAATACTTTCACTAACACCAACACTCGCAACAATGGCCCCTCAACTTCTTGCGCTTGCTGCTCTTGCACTCCGTGCCACCACCATGTGCCCTGCCAGCCCTGTGTTACAAGTAACAAGAAGGATTCTCTCCTTGACAAATGACGAGATGGCTGAAGGCCTAAGGACGTCCACGTTAGAAGGTAATAATTAACGCGGGGCAAAGATCACGTAATATAGTATCTCGCTAAGATAGGATATCTAGAGATACTAGACCCTTAGGAGATACTAGAATATCTAGAGAT